ATCAGGTCTTGTGGATTTCCTCCAATGTCGAAGAACTCTAACTCTTCTTTGGTAACAAACGTTCTGAACGTCTCGTGTGTCGCTATTCGTACGCGATGGCCGTCGCTTCTTAATCTCTTTCCTAGAGCAACGTAAGGCTGGACGTCACCTATAAATGGCCCAATCAGTCATTTATTCGAGTCGAGTTGGTAGTGCTGGGCTAACCGCGGCTTCCTACAATCATGATCAAAATGTTCATCTTAGGGAACCTTGTCCACTCTCGGTCAACAGCGAATTCCTTGACATATGGGGCATGATCCTCTGGGAGCTCAGGGTGTTTGCGATTCAAGTTGAGGGAAACCGAAATTCGACCATCTGGGGTAATAAATGCCGATGATCTCAGCCGCTTTCCTGCAGCGATATATCTGCCGTATGCTAGTATGTATAGTGTGAGCTCGGTCAGCGACGTCGAACGCGAGAGTAACCTACATATATCAGCCTGACCGTCACTTATATCGACAAATGCGTTTTCGTTAGACTGAGGTGGTGGCATGTACTTGAAAAGGATTGGATCGCCTTTGTGCACTTCGTTCATATAAAACGGGTGAGCTTCGTTCGAGATGATAGTGGCAGCAAGTAGACATCGATTGCTTATTTGTACTTCAACTTGTAAAGCTGTGTTTGAACTTATACCGAGTCCGAATCCGAGTCCGAGATTGGCGTGTGGCCAGTGGTCGGGTCATTAACCATATAGGATTTGGTTGACTTGGCTCCTCATTATTGTCGACCAAATTTCTGCTAAAGGCAGGTTATTTCTTGCCCATCTTTGAGTTTTACAAGGGGAATATTGGGTTGTACAGCTCATTTGGCGGCCATTTGCCGACCTTCGCCATATTGGATTATATATATCTCTCAACAGAGCTTCCCTTTCCAGTCATAGAGCTCGCCTTCACATCAGAAGTTGGGCATTGTCTGGACACTATTCGATATGATCCCCCTGCATTTCACATTTAGTTCCTTGCCGAATGGCTACGTGACAGTCGCGAAACGTTTGAACCATGCACAAAACGATTTTCTCTCTGCACAGGTTAGCTTGAACAAAATTGTGCACTGTCAGTGAGGCGAATACATGAATAATATACCTAGGAACTTCACACTAGCATTATACATAGATATTTTCTGTGCGTCCAGAAACTCCGCGCTCGTAACCTCTCTACTCCGCCAAAGAAAGCTGTTTGGCTATTTCCATGTCCCTAAAAAAATCTGCATCGACTTGATCTGACTGTGACCAACCCGGTCCGGTGAGGTTCGACTGCTCAGGTGATAACCATTTTGCATCTTGGGCATCAGCTTCGTGCCAATCCGAGTCGCCTCGGCCTTTGTCTCCCTGCTCGACATCTCCGTATATCACGCTGCGAGCTGCCTCCGACATTGCCCTTTGTCTTTCCAACGTGGTCGCTTCGGCCTCGCGAAACTGTCTTATTATGACGTTCCGCTCCTCGTAGGTGCTTCGTCTCACTTCCTCAACACCATCTGATATGCGTGTACTTCTTTGACACTCCACCTGCTTTTTACCAAAATCAGATCGAATACTTTTCCAAGCGCCATTCATAGGGTGGGCTACAAGACCAACAATTCCTGCCGCGGGCTTCATGGTTACGTTCACAACTAGAAAATCGTTTCAAATCATGATCCAGGGAAGAGTCCAGCGAAGACTTACAGCTCCGAAGGGATCCTTTGATTGCGCCAAGAAACCCATCTTTCTGGGCACCCTCGATAGGCTCACGCACGAGTCCCGTAATTCCGTCATAATAGCCATATACAAACCCCTGCGCAAGTCAGTAACTACAGACAGATGAATCTTTATAAAGCTAACCTTTCCGGCTTCTCTAAGTCCGCTCTCGAAATTAGTTACCTTCCCGGGTTCTCTTACTTGAGAACCATATAGCTTCGGCATATTCTGAAAACCATCGTGTATATTCGTCACAATCTTCATGACTCCTGAGGAAGAAATTGAGGGTAGCTACGAAGAGTTTGAATGAGCACGGACCTTGTGGGATGGCAGTTGTCGTCTGTACGATGCCGGAAACGGGGGAACTGGTAGTCCATCAGCACGTCTCACTGAACGGAATGCACATTAGAAACGAACCAAAAGATCTTCGCGATTCCCGCATAATAATGAGTAACCATCCAAAAGATCGCACTTGACCCGCCGGTTAGGGGATCCGAAACATCTTTGCGTAGGTTGTACTCCTTGGACCCTGCGAGGATTACTTATGTATATGCATGTGTACCGAGAGTACTCAGTGCCAGTTCACATACGATGCATATCCAAGCTTCCCATATCAAGCTCTCGTTCCTCTACCAAGACTTGCGCCGCAAAAGCACTGAGCTTCAGGCACTACCAGAAAGAAAACCGACTCAGGAAAGAAAAAGAGGAAATAGATTCGGAGCCTACGTGTTTCGTGGACCACCAGACCGCTATCCGCGAAGGATCCAGGTCACATCTCATATTTTTCAAAGGGAGATGGCGATAGAAGCTCTCCGCACCGCGATTCACGCCATCCTAAACGTTGGCGGAAATGAATTTCAGATAGTATCTGGAAAATCGACCAACCTCATGCTGGATCTGTTCTGCCATCCTTCGTGCCGCACTCTTTGCAGCGGGGCTGACA